GAGACTCTCCCCTCCCGGTAGAATACTCTGCCGCTGGGGAGCAGTGCCGACTGTCCGTACTCCCTGTAGCTTGGGCGCAGAGACCATGGTGCCATCTGCGCTGGTGGGGGGCTTACTGTCTCCCCTTGTTGGGCTACGCTGCCGCTGGGGAGAGGGAGTAACAAGCTCCTCTTCCTTACACACTTTCAGCCGCTGGGAAGAGGGGGTAACAGGCTCCTCTCCCTGACACTCTCTCTGCTGGTGGAGAGGGGGACCGACTGTCTCCCCTTCCAATAATGTGCTCTGCCATTGGGGAGTGAAACCGGTGGTTTCTTCTCCCTGTAATGTACTCTGCCGCTGGGGATCTGGGCCGACTGCCCAGCATCCCTGTAGGGCCGGTAGAGAGATCTCGGTCCCATCTCCACCTGCCATCTGTGGGTCTCTCCAGGACCAGTCTATGAGGTCGCCTACTTCTGCAGCTGGTAGTGAAGCAGGGGTACCACGGCAGCGTTTTCCCAGCTGTAAGCTTGCAGGTCTGGGTCCGCCACCCAGTTTTCCCATTCTGCCTCCATGCTCTGCGGCTGACACGAGTTTAGTAGTTCCACATAGTCCATCTCCAACTCTCGTTCCATGGCAGCGAAACGGTGGAGGTCTTCTCCCAGTCCAATAGATCTCGGGCCCTGTAACATCTCACCCCGGTAATGCAAGATAGCCCAGTACAGTGACTCTGCTGGACTGCCGAAGTCAACGTCTTCCACTAAGGCCTTCCACAACAGGCCAGGGCTAGTGTAGTATTCCCCCTCCGGCCGGATGCCCTCTGCCCTCCACGTCTCTGGCTGGACAGTGCACCACCACAGTGCCCGGTATGAGGCGTCCAGGCTCAGTTCCCTTTCCACAAGGCCATTTGTTCCTCCAACTGGTATGCGACACCAGGAAGGCGCTGCTGCTGTTGATACTGGACTTCCTCCAGGGCATCGTACCATAATTCTTTCCGGGCAATATCTCTCCATTCCAATTCACTCTCTTCCTCAGGTGTGTGTGCTGCCCAGGGGTCCACGAACCCCATTTTCCCAAATCTCTCTGTAGACAGGGATGCTGTATGAACACTAGTGTCGCCCTCAATTTGTAAATATATGAACGGTGTCTCTGAGCTGCTTTACCTTGCACTAGGACGCCATCCCACCGCTTGCCACCAATGTAACGGATCACCTGGCACCCCGACTGGGTACCTCCGTTGAAGGATGCTCCTAGTGCTTCCTGAGGACTCCAAGCACTGCAGCAGATACCACAACCACCGAACCAGAGAAGCATACGAATGCTCTCAAGCATATGAATGCTGTAAGCAGCTGAACAGGAAAAGCATACAATCAGCTTACACTCCTGGCAATCAGCATACAATCCAATTCCCCCAATAACGAGACGACACTTCGTTTTGAGGTCAAGCAGAACTGACTGTACTGGCACATACAGCCTCTTTTATTCACAATCCACAAACATAGTACTGCCCACGGGGTTTTGAAATACAACCAATCAATCCGTACAATACACACAGACACTCCCACACAAAATCCTCCCCTCTGCCTGTGATATGATTACTGAACACAATGGTTAATATAATTATCACAGGCAGAGAAATACAGTATTATAAAACATATCACAGGGACCCCAAAACATGCAATAACCCCATAAAAAAGTATATCCTCGGAACCGGGGGATCTGGTAGAACCACATATCCAAAATTCACCCAGATCCGTTCAGTAGTTTGGAAGATACAGTTTAATGCAGATTCCACAGAACATATACAGGCTATATGAAAAATAATTACTGTATAATGTGTATAATAATTACTGTATAACATTATTCAATGCTTTCCTATGGGGATTTTGGCGACGCTGGAGGTCCTCACATAGCGTGAGTACGTCCAGCGTCATATGACACACTTTTCGTGTTCTAAGAACACGGAAGTCCCTCTAGTGACTGATAGACAGCCACGAGAGGAGGACTTAACCCTCCAAGTTAAATATAGCAGTTTATGAAAACTGCAATAATTACACTTGCAGGGTTAAGGGTAGTGGGAGTTGGCACCCAGACCACTCCAATGGGCAAAAGTGGTCTGGGTGCCTGGAGTGTCCCTTTAAAGTAAAAAAAAAAACATAGGTGTAAACTTTTTACACATAGCCCACCTCTTGGTAGTATAAAACAGTGCATGCACCTCTTCTGATCAGCTGCAAGTCCTGCAGGGTAGAAAGAAAACTCATGTGGGGGAACTACCATGGTCACAGGGGTGTAACCAGGCCCATCACTCCAGGGGGCCAGATTGCCCAGTCAACCCCTGGTGATTCATCCTTAGTGTAACTACTGGGGCCAACAGTGCGGCTGAGTTCCGGCCAATGGGAAGAAAAAATGGCATGAAACTTTAAAAGTACATGCTGTTTTTAACCCAACCTAGCTGCATAATTAAATATATATATATTAAATTATAGGAAATTACTTTGTGTACTGGTAAGTTTTTTATGCAAATATATGTGGTAATTATGTATTTTTGTCTCCCCATTATCTCCGCAGACTAATTATTCTGACTTCATTAGCGACATAATAAACGTGCAGATACAGAGTTTTGATGAACAATCTCCCTAGAGAATAGTAAGGTCCAAATTTGCAAAATTGCACCTAAGAACTCAGGAATAGTACATTAACTTTTTTGCCTGTATCAATTATATCACAGCAGTGAAAATCTGCAAAGACTTTTTTCTTATAAGAAATACCAATTCACCATTATGTATACATTTTATGTTTTGTTTTATTTTATTTTTTTATTATGGTTAAGTCTAGTAATTGGGTTCTGCTATGTTGGGATAAAAAGACCCATACTGCCGAGACTGATGGGAGTTACACTCCCAAGCAACCCTAGCAACAACTGCTATATGCAATTACTATCCTTAATCAGACCAAATCCCATTAATGAAAAGCCAGGAGAGAAGCTGTTGGGGTAGAATCGAGCTGCCTCTGTCTCCCCAGCCACATTGCCATCCTGGCATGTGGTACAGGGAATCAATTATTGGCAGCTGAAAATTTCAGCTGCTGCCTAGGAGTGTAACCTCCACTAATATTGGGGAGGCATTCATGTTCAGTGGAGATGTTTCTTTGACTGAACAACAATGGATACTTGACTTTGGAATAGAGGAAAAATTACCGGAAGTTAGGAAAGAGAATTTAGGAAATAAAAAGGAATTTCCTGGAAAAATGGTGAAGCAATAGATCGCTTACATCTATATTCTATGAGAGTGTAGGAGTGCAGACAGGGGTGAAACATGTGTTGGACCTAGTGGTTGGGTGGGATTTGCAATTATGGATTGGTGGAAACTGGCAAAAAAACAACAACTGAAAATAACTGATAAGAAATGAGATTGGGTTAGAGCCAGCGTCTCAAACTGTGCCTCACCTGATGTTCCCAAACGACATATCCCATGATTATTTGACCATCTATTAGATTTAAAGAATTCTGGGATTTGCAGGCAATATATACCTGATGGGCCAAAGTTAAGATCCCCAGGATAAAGTGGTCGGCATAAAGCAGTGCTTCTTCTCGCCTGACAAACCCAAAACATCTGGAGCAAAACCAAAAGAGATCCATCTAAAGGGATGCCTAAATGGAACAGTAAGCAAAATAGATGTTGAATGGAGAAAGGGGCAGGATATGGATTTCACCCAGGCAAAGAAGAGAACATTTCTCCCAATACTATGATGAAGAGAATCAAACTGTTAGCAGGTTTCCCTGAAGGTGGGGGGAGCAGGGAGAGGTAGGAGCAAATCAAGAGCACATTTTGAACAAAAGGCAACCGAGGCGCAGAGCGGCAATGAATTCAACACACGCAAAAAAAAAAATCCTGTTACAAAGCGATATTTGGTGCATTTAATTAACCTTTTTAAACTTAACCAGCAACAATTAAAAAAAAAAGAAAAAGAAAAGAAATTGAATTGTTTTGTCTGTTCTGAGATTAAATTTACAGAGAGACTTAATTCACAGCGGTGTGGAAGAAAAAAGAATGGACGAGAATTCTAGTAAAAAAAGGTGGCTTGCTAATTTTTAATTGGATGTTTCCTGAGAAATAAAAACCCAGCCTAATAAAAAGCCAGTGTCTGCGTGAATTCCACTATACTAAATTCTCACTCTTAACCCTTCTGCTGACAACTCAATGATCTTTCTGAGTGTTAAATTTTAACATCAAAGTAGATACACATAAAGATAAAGATACACATTGAAATGTGTAGTGTATATCCTGGGGTATCTGTATTGTATTACCGAGCCTAAAATTGTAAGGATGAAGTAAGCCTGCAAGGAAAAATTTGTGCTTTAACCAAATATATGTTCTCACTGACTGCACTGAAAATTAAAACCCCACTTATTTTTATATTTTTTTTATATTGTGGAATAGTATGAAAATCATACAATATCGTATTTTCCACATATTTTGGTATTAAGGAGTTTCTTATTGTCATTCAAAACATACAGTATATTACTTGACATAAAACTTATAAACTTATAAAACATCAGGACTCCCCAGTCACTCTCACCATTCCTCCCACTCTTTCGCCACTCCTCCTTGGGCTTTACCCTTCGCTCGTGCTGGGCCTTCCTCTTTCTCATTTACACTGTAGACATATTCCACCAGGCATAACCACACACACCCATGAAGTCGTTCTCACTCCATTCTGCCTTCATACACTCTACTTCGATTCACTGCTAAGCTGCATGTCACTCATCCTTTAAGTCTTGCACTGGCGTTCCCTCACTCTCGCGTCCCACACATTCCCAAACATCACCCTTTGCCATCTGAGTGCCAATATCCAAGTGGGCGGATAAATTTGGGGATATCAAACAGGCTGGGTCTAGATAAGAAAAATAATTTGTCTGCAAGTGTCTGAGACCAGGAAGGATGAAAAAACAAATAATAAAAAAAACTAAAATAATGAATAGTCCCCTATGTGTCCTGTCAGGACACTCAATGGGTCTAATACTCCTAAGGGGGTCTCTGCTGTTGGGGCTTCTGCCCCCCTCCCTTCTTTCCACTGCTGTCCTCCCATGTCACTGAGTAGCCGGTAGCTATCGGTGTCCTATCTTCGCCTGGGGCCCCGTGACAGCACTGCGGTAGCAGTAAAGCCACCAGGAATGCCACCGGATCTTCTCCCACCGATGGTGTAAGTACCTCTTCTCCATATGGTACCACGAGGGTTCCCGAGGCACCCCACCGGTAATGTATGTTAAGTTCTCTCAGTTGCCTGGTGACCGGCTTGAAGCTCCTTCTCTCAAGCAGGACAGCGAATGGCACGTCATCGAAGACACGAATGTCATAGCTCTCTACCCGCTGTTTTCTGGCTTGGGCCATCATTGCCATTTTGACTGAGACGTCCCTTGTGACAGCAATAATATCCTGATCCTGAAGGCGGACATAAAAGGTGTATTTTCCCTTTTTCCATCGCTTCCAGGGTCGCTGCTACCTTGTTGGCAAATGATAGTAAGGCCTCTGGCCCCACACTCTCTGGCGTTCCACATAGACGGACGTTCCGCCTTTGGTCCTGGGCCTCCAGTTTGACCACAGAACGGGTAAGTCGCTGGACCTGCTGCATTTAGCGATTCCACCTGTGTTTGAGTCTCCTTAAGTCTGGTTTCTCTTTCCTCCCCTCTCCACCGTGCTGACGCGCAAGATGCGAGGTTCCCCATCTCCGCATGCACTCCTGCCAGGTCTGACTTCCACAACTCAGTTAGAACAAGCAGCAGCTTTTTAAAATCTCCTTTGGTGAAGAGCGAGGTGTCAGAGTCTGACTCGACCCTCAGGACACTCGTGATTTGTGGGTCCTCGAGTTCTACTCTTTCCTCCTTTTGTGACTCCTCTGGCTCGCTGGAACCTCGTGGCCTCCACAGAGGCATCTTAGACTGGGCCGGTTATTGCAGCCTTTCAAAGGACCAGCGTGTGTCGGGCAGCCTGGAGCTCTCAGATTGGGCCACCTTGCCATATTTTCGCCCCATTTCGGTTGTTGGGGGGTTCAGTGTCGTCTAGTATCTCCTGTGAGAGGTAAATATTGCTTATATTCGGGGTAATTTGTGCTTTTCCTCAATCCCACTTATTCTTAAAGGAAAACTTCAAGTACCATAATCACTACAGCAGCACTCAAGTGGTTATAGTACCAAGAGTGCCCTGGCACCCTCCAGGGTAAATAGTTAAACCGGGCACTGAAGATCTCCTCCTGTGGATTAAAAACTTCTACAAAGAGCTTCTGTTAGCTCCACCAAGCTGAGCCCTGCTGTGCAAGGCCGGCTCATTGGGTGAGAGAGTCAGCTGAAAACTTTCGGCTAAGGAGCTCAGTGCTGCACCGCTAGGCTAGTTCAATGCAGGAGCTTCCGAGGACACAGGAGGAAGCGATCAGCACCCTGCAGACCTGATATACATTTTAAAACTGTTCTCAAATGGTTTGAATTCTTATACTGGGAGGGTGAAAGGAGATAACTGGCTGTAGTGGTTATGGTGCATGACGCATTTCTATAGTCTCTAATTGAGACCCAAAAACTTCATTCCCATGCCATTTTCTTTGTATCCCAATGGTACATACACTTTATATCCACTTTCCCTGGTGTAACGGAGACAAATCTAATCCGGAGAAGAGTCCAATGAATTAATTTATTTTAGTATTTATTATATTACAATTGAACAATGGGTCACTGAGCTAATTCCATGTACATATATTCAGCCCCTGTCAAAAATTAAAAAAAAAGGTTAAGAACCATTAGCTTCATAGTGTGCAATCTGTCTATTGAGATTTTACTTTGACAATATATCATTAAATGATACAGCAATCAAAATAGATGCCATTATATTATATGGAAACGGCAAATAAAGGTCACCAGGAGGTAATTATCTGGAAGAAAAATGCCTGTGAGTAATAGGTATGCAGGAATGGATTGAAATGGCAAGCGGATGTACATGAATATATTACTCATTAACTGTGGCTGCAGGGCATGGCGAAGAAATGGTTGTGGCCGGGCACCTCTTTTCAGAAACTGGTTAATGGGCTGGTTTTAACTCCCAGGAGTTTATTCACTAAACAATGAAATACAGTGAATTGAAAACAGAATTTAAAAGATTTCAGACAAAATGGATAGGTTGACAGTTTACCCATATTGCCAGTTTGCATGATAATTCAGTTCACTGGGGACAATTGACAAAAGGATTACACATTGTAGGACAAAACAGCTAAACTGGAAAAAATGCTGAACTGGTGAATTTTTAAATGAAATTATTAAATTATTTTAATTCAACGCTTTTGGCTTGAAATTTGTTGTTTATTTGTCAATTCTTTAGAATTTTCAGTTTAGTTAAAAGAATGATGCAAGTACCTTATTGTAAGTAGTCAGGCCATTTAGAACAGTTCGATTTCTTACCTTGCATTCGCTTGGAGCCACTCCACCCATCCTAACCATGAGCTTCTGTTATCTCACGTTGTCTGAGAGCTTTAGTTGACTGCCTACATACACACGATGTCCTATATAAATTTGTGCGTGTTATCTCTGGACAGGTGCCCTTGTGTGGTTTCTAAGATAGCTAGAAAGCACATTGTTCCTGATTTCCTGTTCCTGACCCAGCTTGGTTCCTGACTTACAGTCCTGATTTGGTGTGTACCAGTCCCAGCTTTGTTCTTGACCTTTAGATAATCTTTTTATTGTTTCTGTGTACCTAGAACCCTTATTTATAGTGTTTATTTTTTGGTGGGCTCATAGCCTAGTTTACATACTTCCTATTTCTACCCAACGTTAGCCTGGCCCCTCTAAGGTACTATTCCTACTTTGCTGTTATCAGAATGTTAAATTATATCTTGCTAAAGAATCCTCTGCAGTTCCTGACAAAAAACTGTTTAAACCTCAAAGCTGCAGGTAATATTCCTGATGGAAATGTTTGTCTTTCATCCTTACATATTTAATAAAAATGAGTACTGTTAACATGGTAAATAATAGCCACATCATATAATCATCTGCCTATTCGATAACATGTACTAACGGCCTTTGTGTTCCCTTAGAGAGATATGTACTATGTAAAACAGATCATTATTACTTTCATTATCTCCCTTTTCATTTCCTGCTCACTTACTACTCATACAATAAATGCCAATGCTTCAAGTAATGGTAATTGATAGAGGCAGGCAGAAAGAATGATTTAAACAGAGTGTTAAGGACTGCTTATATTATATTATACCAGTTTTACCTTGAGGGCCTTGCAAGGTTTTTAATCTGAAGTGCCCCCTTTATTTATTTATAGAATATTTGATACATGGAGATATATAAAGCTCTGTTTTTGTCCCTAATTACAATGGACTTTTCAAGTCCTCCCCTTCTAACTCCACCCACACTTTCTGTGTCTGTTCAATCACAGACCTCCCAATGCAGCTCAATGAGAGGTCTTTGCAAGGCAGGTGCTTGGAGCAATTGGTGACTCTTGAGTTTAGGACCGGTTCTCTGGTTCATGTATAAAAGTGCCAATTTCTATTAAATCTACAGTTTTGTTATATGAAAAATAGAGGACACGCTCTTCACATATAAAACGCTGAGATCTAGATCCCTTTAAATAAAAATACATTTTGCATCAGAATTTATTCATTTTATTATTTTCTATTTTATTTACACAACACCAAATGGTAGTGAATTAAAAATCAAATTGCAGACTTCAGGATAAACAGCCAATATATTTGATTATTCCTGAGTTAGATTTTTTTTGTTTTTTCCAGATTAGCTATTGTATCCTAAAGTTGGTAATTTGGTTATATTGCCATTTACTGCTTTGTGAATAAAGTCCTCCATCTAAGTTGTATTATATGCTGGGTTCAAAGCTGTAAAGATTTAATTCCTTAAAGTAACACTATATGGATAAGGAATACAAACATGTACATGTATGCCTCAGTGTATTTCTTGACTGGGTTGTAATTTCAGTGAAATTCCAACATAGTCAATATGAGTATTTCATATATAGACAGTGACAGTGCTGCTTTAAGGTCTGAAGAACTATCACCCACTGCAGCCCATATCACTCTACTACAGCCACTACCCCCAACCAACCCCACTTCTAAACTTCAAATACTGTTTGCCTGACAGACACACACCCTCACTGATGCATTCACTGACATACACACACCCTCACTAATGCATACACTGACATATACTCACTGACAGATACACAGTCATTGTTACACACACGTTCACAGACATACATACTCACTCACAGTTACACTCACTCACAGTTACACACAAACTCACTCACATTCACCGACAGACACACATAGACTCACTATAATAACAAATGAGGAGCACAACCAACTAAAATAAAATGCACTTTATTATACAGGTACAAAAATCACAGGTATCACACAGTATCTAACAGCAAATCTCAGTATACAATCAATATGAAACCTATGTCCAAATCAGAAGATAAGCATAATCAATCCTGGATATGCAGAATAAATAGTACCAATCCAGATACAAAAAAGAATGGACACCTGTATAAAAATGTCCACCAAATAATACATACCAGAAACAATTGAAAATATCAGAATGAATGAGAGGAGGATGAAAAAGTCAAAGAATAGACCCAACGTTTCGGCGTGTACGCCTTTATCATGGATCATACACATAGACTCACTGACAGACACACACACATACACTCACTGACAGACACACATTCAATGACAGACACACATACACACTCACTGACAAGACACACACACACAGTGAGACACACACCTAGACTCACTGACAGATACACACTAACAAACGCATATACACATTTACTGACAGACACACATACACTAGCTGACAGCCACACACAAGTTGACAGACATACACATTCGCTAAAAGACACATATATTAACTGACAGACACACACTATCAATAACAGACACACACACACTAACAGACACACATACACACTCACTGACAAAAACACAAACACACTCACTAACAGACACACATGCTAATACACTTACAGACACACACACTAACACACATACAATTTTGGGAGTGCTGGAGTAGATTCTTCCCTGGGGTCCAGTGGGGCTGGCTGCAGCTCGGCTGGCAGGGCATGCAGGCACAGGAGGGCGGGCGGTCTGGCAGGCAGGCACATAGTGGAGGAGGGCAGCGAGGGATCTGTAATCCTCCTGCTCTCCTCCCTTGTGTGCCTCTTAGTGATGCCGGAGCTGGAGTGATGTAATTTTCTGGCTCCGTCATCACTGTGTTGCACGTGACAGAGCTGAGCATGGAGAGCTAAGGGGAGAGTCCTCCCTTGCCGCCCGTCTCCAACATAAGCAGATGCCAGCCTCGGGGGTGCACCAAGGTGGCTAGGCGGCCCCTCTTGGG